TAGCCGGGTGGCTCAGTTAGTTGGAGGGTACAAGTCGTGGTATATTCTACATTGGAACACTCTATAGCATTAGATCCCTACATACACAATTGTACCATATACTAAAAGGTTGAGGGTTTGATTCCCAATGAGGGCACATACCTAGGTTGTGGGTTTGATCCCCGGTCAGGGCAAACACGGGAGGCAATGTTTTGTTTTGTTTTTTCTTCTCTCTCTCTCTCTCTCTCTCTCTCTCTCTCTCTCTCTCTCTCTCTCATCAATAAAAAATAAAAAGCACATTTTCTTGGGTGAGGATTTAAAAATAAATTATAATCTTACAAAATAATTACATTAGATTACTCTGAATGTAATTTTAAGCTCAACAATCAAACACCAACCTAAATGAATACTCAGGACAGAGGTATTTACAGCTTGGTAAGGGCTGTGAAGAGACCCTGAACTGGGTGGAAGAAGGGACCACAAAGGCCTGAAACAGAAAGATGCCGGAGGCAAATCCTTTGACTCTGTAAGCACAGGCAACAACGAGGACATGGTTGAGGTGTTTCAGGAGGCCCTGCGGCCCTGCCCTGCTTAATGCTCCTGGGACTTAAGTGACAAAGAACTCAAAACGCAGAAGAGGCCTTGCGAGGGGAGCCCCAGTGCGGGGAAAGCGGCAGTTCTGTCCGAGTCACAGAGAGAATGCTGTGTCCTGACGTGAGAATTTTACAGATGGCCACAGGCCTCTCGTCAAAATCACACCAAAAGAGTAACAGACACTCTCCAGCAATTCAAAATGGAGAGCCTAGAACTGATTTTTAAAAGAAAACACAGAGGAAGTGATCAGCCACCCCAGTCTGAAGGGATTTCTGTCTTTTCCACTGCATCCTAATAATCCGAGACGGGACTCCAGAGCAGAAGGACCACGGTGCAAGGCCTGTCCGCTCACCTATACCTACCCTCAAACTCTGTGCACAGCATGGCGTGTGAAACAGAACAAGTCATCTGGTGGCCCTTCTGACTGGCACCACGACCAAATGCTCCTTCCGCAGTGGCACATATAAACTGAGGAATGGGGCGGCTTACAGTTTGTAAAAGACTTCACCACATTCCACTATTTCCTCAGATTTCACACTGCAGATTCTCAGCAAAAAAAAAAAAAATCCTGTTCTGCACATACGATAACTATAAACTGTCATTTGGTTTTTAAGTCAAACCCATTTGTTTAATACGGATGGTGACTATACAGCGATCTGTTCTAGTTTCTTCATTTGTTTCTGTATTTGAAATACTTCATAAACAATAATTTAAAACAAGGTAACGGTAATAGCTTTGAAAATTTTTCTAATTCTGAAATGGTTGCAAGTTACAACCACTATAAAATTTGATTCACTTTATAACCTTTAGTGCCAGAAGGGGCTATATTTGTGTTGTTGTTATTAATCCTCACCCAAGGATATTTTCCACTGATTTTTTTTTTACAGAGAGTGGAGGGAAGCAGGGGAGTAGGTGTGGGAAGAGAGAGAGAAAGAGAGAGAAACATTGACAGGGTGATTCCCGCAGGTGCCCTTAAACCTGCAACCCCAGTATGTGCCCTTAACTGGAAATGGACCCTGTGACCCTTCGGTGGGCAGGCCGAGGCTCTATGCACCAAGCCACACCGGCCAGGCGAGGAGAGCCTGTATGGATCTCACTCTCTGTCCCACTCACAGGAGGTGCTGAATTAACGCACTGACAAAATCATGAATCCCCATGTGTACGTTTGACAAATATTTGTGTGTTTTTAAATTTTAAAGTTCCAAGAATAAATATAAACAACAATTGCTTGGGTATCAATTTTTAAAAATAGCTCATGCCTTGGCCGACGTGGCTTAGTTGGTTGAGCATCATACTGTGCACTGAAAGGTTGCCAGTCCAGGGCACGTGCCCAGGTTTATGGGTTCATCCCGGTCAGGGTGTGTATGAGAGGAAACCAATTGATGTTTCCCTCTCACATCGATGTCTCTCTCCACCCCCCACGCCCGCTCCCGCCCCCCTCTCTAAAATCAATTTAAAAATATTTTTTAAAATAGCTCAGGCTCTCTTGTCCAAAATGGCAATGACTAGGCAAACACCTACTTGGCAGGAGGGCAGACCTGGGGCAGTGAGCCAGGGTGAGGGCAAGAGGAAAGAATATGGGACCAACTGAAAATCAGTAATCTTTGGTTGAGGACAAGTTCTACTACTTATTATCTTGATTTCCTCAACTTTAATTTAAGATGATAATTTAAGAGAATCTATAAAAAACGTGGTAAACTGTATGACAAGACATAAAACTAAAGCTTTATTACAACCAAGTTACACCTTCCAAGATACAAACTGACTCTTTGCTTAATTTGAGTTATACTTTTAAAATCCCCTCCAAAGAATTTAAGAATTTATATCCGTTTCTCAAGTAATAAAAATATTCTTTATTCATGAAGAAAATGGAAACATTCATGGAGCCATATCTACAGTACAATCCTCAGCCTAAAATGGGGGGATAGGGAAAAATTACAACGCTCACTCTTCATTCACCAAATGCCTCCTTCTTCACATATATGTACGAGGATTTATTTTTATAAGCCAGAAATTCTTTAAAAAAATATTTGTGCAAATGCATCTTAATTTGACAAAAATGTGAGTGGGGCCACCACAATTAACAAATTGATAACTATGCTATTTTCTTATTTTGTACTTTTTTTTTATTTCAGAGAGGAAGGGAGAGAGAGAGAGAGAGAGAGAGAGAGAGAGAGAGAGAGAGAGAGAGAGAGAGAGTGAGAGAGAGAGTTTTTTTCTGAGCT